TTATTAAGAAGTAACTTTAAACAACAGCAACAGTAGTTAAGAAACTTGTATCGTATAGTATTGTCATGGTAACATGGTCCTTTCAGATGTGAAGTGTGTTACACACACATTAGTACCATTGTGGAAAATATCACTCAAAAGTGAAAAATATTTTCATGTTTCCTTCTGTGCCTTTATATGTTTATTACCATAAAAATCATGTTGATGAGAACTAGTCTTAGCATCAGATGAACACTCCTAAATGTTTACATATATTTGGGTTTGAAAATTTAGTTGGATTAATAAATGAAGAGAGAAATGAAGTATTGATCTTTTTTATACTTGTTAAAACTTTTATTTTTGTTCTTTTTTTGGTAAATTGTTTTTTTCTTTAATTTGTACAACTGATGGAGATGTTACTGAACAACCAAGTTTTAACGTGTTAAATTGTCACTGGTCTAGAATAGAAACTGGTACTTTGAAATATTTTTATGTTGATAGATAATAATGTTTAGTTATGCATGTTTGTACCATTGTATTTTGTTTCTGTTATGTATGTTTAGTATCTCTTCAAATGTTTTTTGTCCCTGTCAATGTTAAATATTTACAAGTGCTTCCAGGTGAAGATCTGGCAATGTTGGAATAAGAGTAAATGAGATGATGCTTAGTTAACACTCCTGCATGGTTATGGTGAATTACAATATACTGTTTGATATTAGTGTTGATAGTTAACACTCCTGCATGGTTATGACAAAGTACAATACACTGTTTGATATTAGTGTTGATAGTTAACACTCCTGCATAGTTATGGCAAAGTACAATACACTGTTTGATATTAGTGTTGATAGTTAACACTCCTGCATGGTTAAGGTGAATTACAATACACTGTTTGATATTAGTGTTGATAGTTAACAGTCCTGCATGGTTATGGCGAAGTACAATACACTGTTTGATATTAGTGTTGATAGTTAACAGTCCTGCATGGTTATGGCGAAGTACAATACACTGTATGTTGATGACCATTTCAGCATTGCAGTGAAGAAAGCTTCAGCACTGATGAACCTCATAATAAATGCTGTATACTTCCTTATTGATAACGATTTTTTTTTTTAAGTAGGGTCCATTTTTAAATTGGAACAAGACAAAAATTGGAGATTTTGGTTTGTTGAATGGAAACTGTGTTAGTAACTGGTATGCATTCCATCGTTTTGTGAGCAACACAGTAAAAGGTGTGATACTGGTTTGTCCTGTTCAATGTTCAGTTTTTTAAATTTGTGTGGCTGTATTTTGATTCTTCATTTTTTACCGTACGAAATTAGTCATCTTATGATTTTGGAACTGTCACCTGTTAGTGAAACTGACATGGTCATGACTACTGCTAAAGGATTTGTGTTTATCAACGATAACTAGCATTTTTAAGGAGAAAGTCTTAAAATGAGTAGCTTAGAACTTCTGTCAAATTCCCAAGTCTGCATGTATGACTAGTATTAATTTTTACGATATATTGTGAGTTCATTACCATGTGATTTGTTAATATTGATGTACAAGAAATTTTATAAGTTTTGGTATAATTTGTTTTCATTTTCTTTACCTACTGGTGACTTATTGTCAGGTAACATACTTCCTTGAAATAAATCTCTCTCAAGTTTGAATAAATAACTTATTTTCCAAATTTTCCAGGTTAAAAACCTGAACTTTCAGTAATATATATTGTGAATAGTTTTGTTAGAAGGCGAAGAACGCCAGAGTGGAACACACTCCTGCGAACCTGTATTTTAGGTTAATTGTTCTGTTGTGATAGTAGACCTTTCATATTAATTGGACCAAATGTGGTTATTATTGGTTAAATACTGAAGAAAATAGAATCTCAACAGATGTAAATATGGTAATTTCACTGAAAATTCTATCTTTGTGAATTTGTACAAACCCTTTTAAATTGAAATAAATTGTTATAGGTTGTGGAAAACAAATTAGTGAATTATTTCTCATCTTTTGCTACAAGTTAATGTCAGTTTTCACCTGAGAATCATAAACTGTTTTGAGGTTGTTACAAATAACGCAGTGAGAAGTAACTGCTAGCTTATTGTGGCATTACCTTGTTTTAAAACAGCATTTCAGGTGTGACCTGACCGTTACACACCCTATTGTTCTCTACAACCTCATTCTCAAGTGTTTTATTACAAGTTAAAAAACCCAAGGTTAAAAATTCTTATTAGAAAAGATATATTGAAGACAATAGTAACTCTTACTTAAAGTAACCAAAATGTCAGCAAGGGAACTAAACAGTGTTGTATGTTATGAATCCTTAATTTCTGTCTTGTGTGCAGTTAGACTCTGACTTGGTTCTGTCTGTTTATTTAAATAATGTGTTGAAAATGAAGGTGTACAGTTAGACTCTGGCTTGGTTCTGTCTGTTTATTTAAATAATGTGTTGAAAATGAAGGTGTACAGTTAGACTCTGACTTGGTTCTGTCTGTTTATTTAAATAATGTGTTGAAACGAAGGTGTGCAGTTAGACTGACTTTGTTCTGTCTGTTTATTTAAATAACGTGTTGAAACGAAGGTGTGCAGTTAGACTCTGACTTTGTTCTGTCTGTTTATTTAAATAACGTGTTGAAAATGAAGATGTGCAGTTAGACTGACTTTGTTCTGTCCGTTTATTTAAATAACATGTCGAAAATGGAGGTGTGCAGTTAGACTCTGACTTTTTTCTGTCTGTTTATTAAATAACGTGTTGAAATGAAGGCGTTTAATGTAAGAGTAAATGTAAAACATCTTGATCTGTATAAAACACCTTGCTCTGTGTAAAACACCTTGATATGTGTAAAACACCTCCCAACACATAGTTTAAAGAAATTGATCTAACACAAAATATGATAACCTATAACCTGAGCACCTTGGGCTGCTGGTCATCATTGTTCCTTAGACTGCCACATTGACCACTAAAACATTACTGTCAGTCTAGTTCACTAAACACCAACTTAGATCATTGACCACTAAAACATTACTGTCAGTCTAGTTCACTCAACACCAACTTAGATCATTGACCACTAAAACATTACTGTCAGTTTATTTCACTAAACACCAACTTAGATCATTGACCACTAAAACATTACTATCAGTCTAGTTCACTAAACACCAACTTAGATCATTGACCACTAAAACATTACTGTCAGTCTAGTTCACTAAACACCAACTTAGATGATTGACCAATAAAACATTACTGTCAGTCTAGTTCACTAAACACCAACTTAGATGATTGACCAATAAAACATTACTGTCAGTCTAGTTCACTCAACACTAAACACCAACTTAGATGATCGACCAATAAAACATTACTGTCAGTCTAGTTCACTAAGCACCAACTTAGATCATTGACCAATAAAACATTACTGTCAGTCTAGTTCACTAAACACCAACTTAGATCATTGACCAATAAAACATTACTGTCAATCTAGTTCACTAAACACTAATAACCAACTTAGATCATTGACCACTAAAACATGACTGCCAGATTAGCTCTTTAAAAATCAACGGGAATATCTAAACAAACAGTTTGATATACATCAGTAGTTCTAGCATAGTCTTCCCTGTAAAAGCGTTTTCTCCGCCTGACGAACCTGCTCAACAGGAAAACAGTATTTTTATAATCGGCATAGTGGTTGTTAGCTCAACAACGTGTAACTCAGTGACGGAACTGACGCCGTTTGTACAAGAGCTGATCGTTGAAATTCAAAAATAACCATTTCAAAGTTCGTAACTATTTATATCTAAAACAAATTCGAAAATATATATTCAAATATAGTTATATTTCAATGGAGTGGATGACATTACCATTAAACCCCGTGATAGGGTGCACGTTCGGTAAAAGTTGATAGTGAGATTTGAACGGGAGGACCAACAGTGAAGTAGGACTGGTTCAATTTAGACATTTTTTCACATAAAAAGAGATAGCAACCTTAGCTACAGCCAAGACAAAGTGACACGTGAATCTTAATGTTCACAGACCGACACGTTCTTTCTTTGTTGTATGTTTTATAAAGTCAAAGATTCCTGACAAAATGTGCTACTATATGTTAAAATGTTCTCATTTTCTCACTAGCTGTGACGTGACGTATGAATGTTATAATTTTAATAATAGCTGTGATGTATCACAATGTGTGAAACGAAGGTTATGATTTTAATATAGGCTGCGATGTGTTAGAATGCGTTGAATGAGTGTTAGGGTTTTAATATGAGTTACAGTGTGCCTAGTGCTGTTTAAATAATAAACAGTTTAACTAATGGAGTAGTGTTCATGCTATTTCTTACAAACACATACCAGTCAAGTCATCGGGCGCTGGGAAACCGACATCATTATATATAAAATGGATTGTAATAAGCAAGCAGAGATGAGAGGTATGCTTTGGACAGGACAATTTTACGACTGAGCTTTTTATAATGAAAACTACATTACATGACTATTGTCAAGATGCACAGTCGGCATATAAAGTATGACCGGACGTGGCGATATGAGCTGTGGTCAGGCTACGAAAACGTTTTAATATAAATTATTCAACATTCTGCATGTATAAATATACAGAACTTTGAAGACATTATATATGAAGGCATAAGATAATATTTGCTATTTACACATTATAAAGCGTTGATTATCCCGTATGTTATAGAAATATATTGTTACGTGCAAAATCACAAAAACAAAGAAATATTCTAGTAATAATTGTATACGCTTCTCGCTCGCCAACAGGTGGCAGTGAAGGGCTAAACAACTACTGTGTTTGAGATCTCACTGATCGTGTAATATTACTCATAACCTGTGGTAATGAATTTTCAAAACGTATGTCAATTAAAAACTAAAATAAAGGAGCTCGAATTTTTACTTCGTTCTTTGAATGAGCTCCAGTTTGCAAATATTTAACTGAGAAAAGAAACAATATATTTAGAAATACACTCTATGAAACATGCTCAGTTCTTAGTTAGGCTTAGCAATTTCGGAATGGAAATAACTTCTTTAACTATCAGATTTTATTTATCTGTATGCTCTAACTTTGGAATAAAATACTTTGTAAATAGAACGGGGTTACACAAACTATGACTCGTAGGTGTACTAACCACTAGAGGGCGGGGTATTCAAAAGCTTCGTTCAGTCGATCGATGCTACGTCACGTTTGACCGGTTGTAACTTGTAGTGTATTTGAATCTACAGTGAAGACACGTTCGATTTTTAGACATTTAATTCCGAAATCATTTTGAGTATATGAAGCTAAAACTCTGATCGTACAATAAGACCCTCTTACTGGTAGAAACACGTGCTGTGCTAAGTTAAGGATTATGAGTGGTGAGATACGAGGGGTTTAGAAGGAGATTATTAATGGATGGTAGACATTTGTGAGGTATGTGTTTATGTATACGTTAATGCTGCAGTAAAAACAAGAACTTATAAGGTCAGCGACGAAGTTAACCAACGTTTCGGCCACACTGGATCCTCCGAACTTCGTCCATGTCAAGGGTAAGTTGCCTAATAAAAAGATGCGAAAACGTAAAGAGCTGGACGCCTTAGTGCCGAACGGTAAGCTTGGGAAGCGAGCCAATCAAACGTCTTCTTCGCGTTCAGCTTCGGCGCACGAGCTTCTAGGCAATTTTTCCGATACATCTGACATCGAAGACTTTTCTGTACAGAAGTCCAAAAGGCACGTAGGTCGGAAGTAAGTTTTTTATTTTCATGTGACGTGTACACACATATAATTATATCTAACTTCACCTAACAATAATTATATCAATTGATATACATTTTATAGCTTTTGCTGCTCTATTTTGATGATATATAATATTATATACCGTTACTAGTGTATAGAGACAGGTCGTCATGGTTTCATAGACCAATACATGTTACTATGGTTCAGATACACTGTTACTAGTGTATAGAGACAGGTCGTCATGGTTTCGTATACCAATACATGTTACTATGGTTCAGATACACTGTTACTAGTGTATGGAGACAGGTCGTCATGGTTTCGTAGAACAATACATGTTACTATGGTTCAGATATACTGTTACTAATGTATAGAGACAGGTCGTCATGGTTTCGTAGAACAATATATATTACTATGGTTCAGATATACTGTTACTAATGTATAGAGACAGGTCGTCATGGTTTCGTAGAACAATACATGTTACTATGGTTCAGATACACTGTTACTAGTGTATAGAGACAGGTTGTCATGGTTTCATATACCAATACATATTACTATGGTTTAGATACATTTCACCCTCAGAGTAACATGTAATACTGAACCACAACACGCTGGCTATTCTCAGATTTCATCCTCAGTGTAGCCTGTAATATTGAACCACAACACGTTTGTTGTTCTTAGATTCCACCCTCAGTGTTGCCTGTAATAATGAACCACAACACATTTGTTGTTCACAAATTTCACCCTCAGTGTAGCCTGTAAATTGAACCACAACACGTTTATTGTTCACAAATTTCACCCTCAGTGTAGCCTGTAATAATGAACCACAACTCGTTTATTGTTCACAAATTTCACCCTCAGTGTAGCCTGTAATAATGAACCACAGTACACTATACAGCTGAGAAATTCTTGTTCACATTATTTTTGTATCTGTTTAGAGCTGACAATGGAAGGCAATAACAGACAAGAGTACAATTATACTTGGTATTAGGCCTATTACATTTTTAAACACTACATTCTTAATCTAATCCTTTAAGGATTTTCAAGAATTAGAAGAGTGTATTATAATAATAGTATTCCAACCACACTGTATTCGCTATATCCATTACCGATGACGCGTTTCGCTCAATCCAGAGCTCATCATGCTGACTGTGATACAACAAACAAAGTGATGGTCGTAACACTGTTTATCACGGCCATGTGGTTAGGGGAGCTGGACTCGCAATCTGAGGGTCGCGGGTTCGAATCTCCGACTCACCAAACATGCTCGCCCTTTCAGCCGTGGGAGCGTTATAATGTGACGGTCAATCTCGCTATTCGCTGGTAAAAAAGTAGCCCAAGAGTTGGCGGTGTGTGGTGATGACTAGCTGCCTTCCCTCTAGTCTTACACTGCTAAATTAGGGATGTCTACCACAGATAGCCCTCGTGTAGCTTTGCGCGAGATTAAAAAACAAACACTTTATACATTCCATTTGATACAACAAAAGTATTAACATTCTAACGGTGACTTGTACGTCCTGGGTTTTTGTTTCAGTAATTTTATTGCGTTTTACATAAAACACATTATTAGAAATAAACGTTTAAGTATCGTACTATATATTATGTTGTTTCGGGTAAATCAACTATATTTATTTTGGTTTGAAGTTAATATGTAATCAGATAAAGGTTGCTTTTACCTGCCGCCAGGGTGAAATTTGCACCGAAGCCGAGACCAAACGCTTTTTGCAAGAGTGTTGTTAAAATTGTTAGCCAAGTTATTCAAATTACACGTTCGCTTAAGTGGAATAATTTATTACAGCTTGTCTAATGAAATAATTGTGTCGCATGCTTGTCTTAATAGTTATTCCTTTACCTAGTTATGTAAACATGTTGTTAAGGAACCAGTATCAGAGAAACCTTTACTGAGTTACGTAAACATGTTGTTAAGGAACCAGTATCAGAGAAACCTTTACTGAGTTACGTAAACATGTTGTTAAGGAACCAGTATCAGAGAAACCTTTACTGAGTTACGTAAACATGTTGTTAAGGAACCAGTATCAGAGAAACATATACTGAGTTACGTAAGCATGTTGTTAAGGAACCAGTAGCGTAGAAACATTTACTGAGTTACGTAAGCATGTTGTTAAGGAACCAGTATCAGAGAAACCTTTACTGATTTACGTAAACATGTTGTTAAGGAACCAGTATCAGAGAACCCTTTACTGAGTTACGTAAACATGTTTTTAAGGAACCAGTATCAGAGAAACATTTACTGAGTTACGTAAACATGTTGTCAAGGAACCAGTATCAGAGAAACATTTACTGAGTTACGTAAACATGTTGTTAAGGAACCAGTATCAGAGAAGGACAAGGAATGGTGACAAGGGATTATTGGTTACACAAGAGCTATCTGCGCTAATTGGAATTAATTGACTAGAGGGAAGGTAGCTAGTGAACAGCACCCACCGCAAACCGAATAGTAGAACTTGATCGTCATCCATATAACACACCCACAGCACCCAATACTGGAGTGAGTTTTATGGCAACGGAACACGAACTTTTGGGTTAACACTAGGTTACTCACAGCCAGGGAAGTGAAGTGAGTAGCTAACAACACTTGAGTCTTCCATGACTTTTTAAACTAAATTTGTAGAAGCGGCTCAATACCTCCCTCAGCTCTTTATTCTGTTCCTGTCTACAAGTTAGTTTGACCACCGTTCCTGTCTACACCTTATTTTGGCCATTGTACCCATCTACACCTTAGATTGACCAACATTCCTGTCTACACATTAGCTTGACCATTTTTCCTGTCTACATATTAGTCAGGTCACCGTTTCTGTCTATACCTTAGTTTAGCCACTGTTCCTGTCTACACCTTAGCTTGACCATTGTTCCTGTCTACACCTTAGCTTGACCATTGTTCCTGTCTACATATTAGTCAGGTCACCGTTTCTGTCTATACCTTAGTTTAGCCACTGTTCCTGTCTACACCTTAGCTTGACCATTGTTCCTGTCTACACCTTAGCTTGACCATTGTTCCTGTCTACATATTAGTCAGGTCACCGTTTCTGTCTATAC